TCTAGTGAGCTTGTGTTGTAACAGGATGAAACAAAAGTCAACCATAAATTATGAACTTTGGGGAAATGCACTGGTAATTTTTACATATGAAATTAAGGCCTAAAATCTTTCACTCTTTAAATGCTGGCTTCTCCTCTGCTAGGAATATATTACCGATACTTGTTTACAAAGACTTATAGAAGAGGGGAGAGTAACCTGATGTGTAGCATCCTGACTAAATCCCTTTATGTAACATAGTTAAGAAAGTTATTTGGGGACTGGGGCGCAGGGAAGACTGATGAGGAACAATTTCAATAAAAAGTGGGAGGGGGGAGAGACCACAAGATGACCTAGTTTTGAATACGTCCCCAAAAGCCCTAGTTCTGGTAGCAGAAGAAACCAGTCGGAATCTGCTGAAATGGCATAACATAAGCAAAACCCAAAAGTGAACAGAAAGCATTCCGGGTGTTTTTGCATAAATCGTTTAGAGGATCTTGTCTATGAAGAATAGAGAGTCCTGCCTTTGGCGTAGATCATTTATTAATATAGGATGGGCAAGTATCGGTAAGCAGTCTCTCCTGACAATCGGGACACATCTACACTGAAAATGTATGCAAGCTTTCTATCACTTTTAACTGTCATTGCTCCCCATCATGATCAAGGATTTCTAGAGCACAGTTTGATGAGGCTGTTGATAATTTGTTTGGAGATCCCTAGCACCTAGCACCTCTCACAGTACTGCAGTCCCCATGATTCCCAGGAGAGTGGTATATAGCTATGCTCTGAGCTTTCCAATTACTTAGGATTTATTTTTTTACTCCTTAGCCCTGTAGCACCACCTTCTGGCAGAGGTAGAATCCCCACAGCACCATCCATCACCATGCCCCTCTTCATAATCCTGTCGTGAAATAACTGAAAGGCTCATTGCTTAACTCTTGGGCCAGCATGTTTCCCCAGATAACAGCCCCTTTCTCTGTCAACATGATATAGCCAGCACCATGTAGTGACAAGCTCTGAAGCACACCTGAAATTATAGTTTGTAACTCAAATGGGTCAGCTGACCTCCAGGCACTCCATAATGTGTATAGAGGATTGCAAATCAAGATCCCTCCTCCCTAATTAATCCACTCTGTAGTTTTACCAGTGCAAAGTGTTCACAATAAAAAACCTTACAGATACCTATCTGAGTTGAATCTGAATCCCACATGCACTTTAAATATGATGTAGCTAGTTGTAAAAGCTTTTTCTTGTACGTCCTCAATCATCCAGCACAAAAAAACACATATATTCTAAAAAGACATATGCTCAACAGTCAAAAGTAATTATTTCCACCCCCCCACCCCGATAATATTGTTTATTAGGTGGGACAATGAAACATGCAGAAGGATTATTTTTATTTTAAAAAAAATAGTAACAGCTCAGACAACTCCTCTTTTTCCCTGCAATAAATGAGGAATAGAAATTGTACTGGGTCCTGCTAAATCCAAATATTAATAACATTTCTGTCTGTAAGCTACAGAATGAGAATGCTTTTTTAAGTTTTAGGGTCACAACTTTATTTGTTTTATAATTGTATATTTTATTGTTGTAACCCATTCTGGGACCCTATGGTAAAGTGTAGGAAAGAAAAAAATATTAAATAAAAAGAACAATGTAAAAAGAACACATATTTTTATAATTAAGAAACTAAGTGGTGTGGATGGATCACAACAAAACTCTCCTGTTTGTATTATATAGTTTCCAGTGCCTTATCATGTGGCTTGCTGACTCCCTAAGTTCCAGTTCAGAAAGTCAGGTAAATTAGTTGGTTGGTATGAGCACAACAATAAAGGACAGGTGAGGCCTACTCCGATTCATCTTATCCAAAGTTATCACACAGGTTATCATGTGTGTGTGTGTGTGTGCTAAGAATTCATTTCTGTGATGGAAACTGCTGGGGAAATGTTACCTGAGAAATTCTAGTTCCCTGAAATTAGACTCTTCCAATGCGAAGATGGGCAGCCAGATTCTCCCTCTACAATAATCTTTCTAATCCTTTCCTTTCAACACTTTTGCTCTAATTATACCGCTCTATCCCAGGATTAGTGTGTTGTAAATTTTGTTCTTCGCCATCATCACCGCAAACCAATACATAGTTTGGGCTACAAAATCTATGGAGACCATCCTTATAAAACCTAGGGACTGAGACCTTGGGAGGGAAAAGGTAGCAAACTTGTGACAAATAACTGTATTGTTTAAAATCAGGCAAAGGGTGATTAGTGAGGATGGAAGTTTTCAAAAAGACCTTCAAGAAATGAAACGTTTACAGATGGTTCTTTATTTGTGATCATTTTCGGGTTTAACCCTCATGTCATGTTGTGGGGGGGGGTGTCAAATAAACACAAATTATTATAGTGTTCCTCCCGCCACAAAATGTGGAGTTTCACTGCAAAAGTGTTGCCTTTTGCCTGGGAGTAACAAGAAATTAATCTGCAGCAAGAAAGGAGGGATGGCAACCCTGCTCTCTCTATATTATATAATCACTGCAGCTGGTAAGTAGGGAGCTGGATTCAGGTTGCCATAGCATTTGGCATATTGCTATGGAGGCCGAGCTTTGGTCCACTTATCAGTAGCGTTGTCAGCAGCAAAGCACAAAGCACACACATACTAGTGCGTGACAGAAGCACATGGCTAAGAGGACAAAAGCAAAACAGGGCACGAGATGCAACGGACCCAGCATTCACCTTTTTGGGGTACCTGTTATGGTATGGTGATGACAAAAAAAAATATTTTCAGGTCGGTGTATTACAAGATTTTGACCACTGGAACTTTCTAAAAATCTACACACACACACACAAGTGTGCCACAATCAAATACACACTTTTATATACGTAGATTTCACTCTCTCCTTAAGAATGGTCCAGGTGCAAAGGGGCTAGGGCTTCTGCACTTTTAAGAAATGTGGAGAAGGAATGTAGGAGCTAAAGCTTTCTGGTATGTCACACCTGCTGAGATTCCCTGTTTAACACCATTATAAAAAGGTGCAGGTGTCCTGAACTCTCCTCCCCCCAACCTGGACACCCTTCTGCCACTAACAGTGAAATCCCATAGAAATCTACTCAAAAGTAAGCTTAGCAAGTTGGATCAAGAGGGCCCCAAGTAAGCGGATATAGGATTGCAGCCTAAATCCCTTTAGGGCTAAGCAAAGAAAGAGTTCAAGCACATATATTTCCCACTTTGAAAGAATAAGTATCTGAGCCATTGGTTCAGTGCTGTCAACTCCAACTGCCTTTCCTATCTTTGGTACCTTGAGATCCCTATACTTGAAAGAAAACTAAACTGGAGATACTCTGGATTGATTTATTTCCACATGGAGATAACTGCCTGCTTCCTACCCTATGACACACAGTGCCAAGAATCTCAGCACTCTGGTGCTACTGGGTGAGATGAGAGGAGCAATGACAGGTGGTAAGAGGAAAGGTAAGGGGCAGCCTGCCTTATCAGGGAGTGCAGAGAAGATGGAAAGAACAAGGGTCTTAGGGACATGCATGTGCACAAGCACACACACACACACACACACACACACACAGCTGCCAGCAGACTTCTCTCTACTAAGACAATCATGATGATGGGTCTCTTTGGTACATCTATCTAAGCAAGAGGGGTGGGGTTGGAACCACCCAGTAGAAGCTAACCAGAAGGGTCCAAATCACAACCCCTTTGGAGGGGACTGCCAGGAAACGATAATAACTTGGAGAGTTAAAAGAAAATAAAACAAGTTATCTCCCCACCACCCTTGTTGATTTGATCTAGCTCCTGTTCCCACAAGCTGCTCTTAAAAGCACCTCCAGGGATGTTTGGCTCGGATGGGCGCAGAAAAGGATGGGTCTTCCCTATTTTCAATGTTTAAAAAGCAATCACCACCACAGCAGGAGGTCTTCCTCTTTTGGGGTATATAATATGTACGTAACACACATACTCAGCAGCCCTCCTGTGTCTGTCTGGCGTCAGGATTTGCCTTCTACCTATGAAAAGGAGGCCACAGTCCTCTGAGTGATGGGTGGCAGAGCATAGCAGAGGGAGGAGGTAAAGAGTCTCCAACAGCGCAGTCATATATTTAAGTCTCATCGAGTTCAATGGGGCTTACTCACAAGTAACTGGGTATAGGTTGGTTGGCAGCCTAGGCGGCCCTCTATTGGGCAAGGGACTTTGAGACGTTGCAATTAGGTTCCAATTAATGAGGTGGGAAAGAGATCGATAGCTTTGCTTCCCAACTGTTGAGGCATTGCCACCCCAGATATCCCTAAGAATCTTCCACTTCCTCTACTAACAGCGCAAGACTATGCGGAGGTACTTGGAAGTAAACTCCACTGCATTCAATTGTGGGTAAGTGGGTACGTAGGACTGCAGACGGCCACCATACAGCCCTTTCCTTTGGAGTTGAACTTAGTGGAAGTTACTTCCGAGCAAACATGCACTGGATCGGGCTGTAAAATCCTGAAGGGAATGGGGATTGGGAGGGACCCCGAAAATGACCCCAACTTCCCCATGCCTCCAAAAACATGGTAGTTGTTTTTTTTTTTTTTATGAGGATCGTTAGCCCGCCCTGGAAGAAGCAACGAAGACGAGATCTGAAGCAACAACCCTCGGTCTTGCAAACTCCTGGACGTCCCTCCTGCCAGCTCCACACACTCTTCCACCACCAGAAAGCAACTTTGCCTTGCTTAATATTGCTGGCCAAGGATAAGGCTGGGGGAGGGAAAAGCGTGGGGGGGGTTGCTTGGTGGGCTTGTTTTGTTTCCCGCGACCACCAGCCTTGACAAGATCACTGCATCAGATCTCTCCTCATGTCACCCGCGGTCCCATCTGTGTGGTGGCGGCGGAGGACCATCTCCCACCACCCTCCTTTCCCCTCCCGCTCTTCACGTTGCTTTCTCCAGCATCTTCAGAAGAAGGAAAGGACAGTAAGGGGGAGAGGGGGGAGGAGAGGGAGACGGAGGGAGGGGGGAGACAAGACTGTGGGGTCTCAGGATAGAGCTTACCTTGGTGGTTTTCTTCTGGGATGTACATCCTCTTGTTTTCATTGACCATTTAAGTAGAGGAACGAGGAGCACCCCCCAAAAAAGCAACCCAAGCAGGAGTCCAGGGTTTTAATTCCTCCAAATCCAAAAGAAAAAAAAGAAAAGAAATAGCAACAGCAGATGGGGTGAACAGTTCACGGAAGAAACCGGAGCTTCTGCGACGATTAAAATTCCCCCGTTCGGTTATTACCTGATTCCCATGATTGCATCAAAGCCCAAAAACTGATCCTTTCCACTACTGCCTCCTTTAGTGCAATTGCAAAGCATCCTCAGAGAACATCCGGGACCCTGCCAAAGAATTGAGCCCAGCACCTCTGGCCGCTGCTCACACCGTCGAGAAGCGGCAGAAGGAGAAGCGGCTCCTTTAGATCTTTATTGTTTGTTTGTTTTAAAAAGAGGAGACGGTGGGGGGAGAGGAGAAAAGATCAGCAAGGGAAAGGAAGGTGGGAGAAAACAGCCGAGGGGAGGGGAGGGGGGGACACTAATAAGCATCCAAGAAGGGTGCTGGAGCGGGAGGGTGGGGAGAGAGAATATCTCAGGAGGGTTCAAGTGTCTTTCTTGCTTAGATCCACCAACTAGGAGAGGGAAGCGAGCGGGGCTGAGAGAAAAAGGCGACCTCGAAGAGCTGTTCCAAGGCGGCTGCTTCTCCTCTTCGAAGCCAATTCCGCGCGCTCTGTTGGCAGGGAGCTGTTTCTGCAGAGAGAGCGCTAGTCCCAGCCCCTCACTCCCTCCCCTCCCTCAGCAGAAGACTCGCTCCCGCTTCTCTCCCCCTCCCCTCCTTCCTCCTTTAGACAGACAGACAGACACCATGAACACTTCCAGATGTTCCAGCTGCTGCTGCGGCGGCAGCAGCAAGCACCTCCCCTCGCTTTTTTTAGGAGCCGGAGGACTTGATCTGAAAGTTTAACATGCCTCCCTCTGCCCCTCGCTCCCCTCCCCTCGGCTCACTGCGCCTGGCGGTGGGTTTTTGCCGCTGCCGCTGCTGAAACCTTTTCTACAGACATGACGTCAAGAAGGCAAGCTGAATCTGGCTTGCATGGGGGAAAAAAGTGGGGAGGGGGGATCGTGGTAGGTAAAATGGGGGTTTACTTTTTTTTTCAAAAAAGTAACAGACGGTTAGAAGGTTCCCCAACGAAGCAGGTCGCCTCTCTTCTCCGCTCTAGCAACCCTGACACACACCAACCACATCGACCCCCTCCGTGTGATTTGTCAATATTGTGCTCTCTCTTTAAAAAAAAAAAAAAAGCCTGCAATTTTCCAGCGCTGAAATTTATCTGTGATCTGCATGTTAAAGAAGGGACAAAATAATGTTGCTAGAATCTGTAGCAGCTTTATTAGAGCGGCGTGTTTTGTTTTGTTTTTAGGGGCGGGGTTGAACACACACACACGCACCCAATAACAATAAATCATCACAATAGCAATAAAAGGGTTGCTGGTGTGTGTTGGATTTGATCAGTTGTTGCCGAGAAGCTTGGTGTACACCTACACACACAGAGAGAGAGAGAGAGAGCGAGCGAGAGAGAGAGAGCGCTAGCAGAGGCGAGAGAGGAGGCACAGATGTTGAAACGGATTAACTGAGCCGAGATTTTCCAAATCCACAGTAGACACACCGAAAAAAAATAATAAAAACCTGAGGTTGGAAGGAGAGATGGAGGGGACGTTCCTCCCCTCCACCCAGCGTTCCACCTCCCTCCTGCCTGTCGCTGGGGTGGGAGTCCGCTCTCTTTAGGCGTCCCCACCTTTCCCAAAGCAGCCGAGATGCTGATGGCTCCTGGCCAGCCCGCTGGGAAGCCAGGCAGGCAGGCGCGTGTGTGGCGCGCCTTATCTGGGGCTCTCGCAGGGCTGCCATGGTAAACAAGCGGTGCAGAATGGAACGTGCCATGTGTGTGTGTCTCTACGTACACTGTACGTCCCCCTTTATCCAGGCATGCCGCCACCTCTCCATCGCAGCGATCTGAGAAGCTAATCGGGTCTGAGTTGCGCACTTGGGGGGTTGCTGGCTAGCGGAGCGCTGCGATTCTCCGAGAAGCCGGCGAGGCGCGTCGAGCTCCCGGCTTTGATATGTGTTTACTCGGAAGCAAGACGCGCGGACCGCCCTGTTCCCTATGTTCCCAATACACGCGCGTTGCGTCCGGGCTGCGCCCTTACGCATGAGTAAGCCCCGCGGAATTCAGTGGGGCTTGCTCCCCAGCAGTGCGGAAGGGCAGGCCGCTAACCAACGGCTAAAATCCAGGCTTACAGAGCGCGATTCGTTGCTAGAGGCGCAGCAGGAGTAGCTCCTTGGTTCGCTCGCCTTTGCGAACAGATCCGCTCCTGACACGCTTATTCGCTGCACCGCGAGAGGGTCTGCAATGCGAATAAGGTTTAGGGTTGGAGGGTCTTCTCAGCCACTGGGCGGTGGGAGGCTGGGGGCGGGACAAGCGGGAGAACTGAGGGGCTCGTGCGAAGGCGGCAACGCGCGAACTTTTCGCGGCGAAGTTTGCTAGAAAAAGTCCCTTTGCCTTGAATACTTCGCAGCAGACATCTTCGGGAACAGGGCGGCGACGGGAGAGCGAAGCAGTTTTAAAAGCGCAGCGGTACATTACTGTGAACGACACACAGCCAACAACAGGTTGGGGAAGAGGAGAAAACAAATCTCAAAAGAAAATTAACAGCACTTAGTTGTCCAAATGCCCCTCCTACCGCCGCCATTCGCGGTACAGCTGCTCAATTTTTAATCCCATCACAAGTCTGATCACAACACTTTCTCTGTCGTGTTGTCCTAGCAGGCTTTCCAAGTGTTAGCAATTGGCCAGAAGGTAGTGCTTTTGAAATAGGCAGGCTCTTCTTGATATGAGTGAGAGATGGAGGATTAAAGCATTAACTGATTTGTCACTACCAGAATCTGGTACCTGCTGCTAAAAATCCATCTGCTCTGTTCGAAATCTGGAGGGTTACAAGTTCCTGGATTTGACAAAAGAGTGTGAGTAGTCCAGGATATTTAGGGGATGTGTTTGAATGAGAGCTAAATGGTTAAAGAAAGGAATTCCTTGAGTGGAACAGAGTTAGACTTCCCACCATCCCAGACAATGAACATTTAATCTAGGTATGAAGGGGACAACAGAGGACAAGATGGTTGGACAATATTCTCAAAACTACCAACATGAATTTGATGAAACTGCGGGAGGTAGTGGAAGACAGGAGTGCCTGGCATGCTCTGGTCCATGTGGTCACGAAGAATCGGACATGACTAAACAACAAAATCCCTGCCTGGACAGAAAAAAATAACATGTTTGGCATTTGCCTGGCTACTGTAAGCACAGGATGCTGGACTGAATGGGCCTTTGGTATGATCCAGCAGAGCTCTTCTTAAAGCTAAAGGTAAAGGGACCCTTGACCATTAAGTCCAGTTGTGGACGACTCTGGGGTTGCGGCCCTCATCTTGCTTTACTGATCGAGGGAGCTGGTGTTTGTCTGCAGACAGCTTCCTGGTCATGTGGCCAGCATGACTAAGCCGCTAACCAGAAGGTCAGCAGTTTGAATCCCCACGATGGGGTGAGCTCTTCTTAAAGGTAAAGGTAAAGGGACCCCTGACCATTAGGTCCAGTTGTTACCGACTCTGGGGTTGCGACACTCATCTCGCTTTATTGGCCGAGGACGTACAGCTTCCGGGTCATGTGGCCAGAATGACTAAGCCGCTTCTGACGAACCAGAGCAGTTACTGCAATTGTTACGTTATTCCACAATTGGCTTTAATCTTTGTTAAAACACCAGTTTCACTGCAGGTGCCATATTTAATATCATGTGTGGTTAATACTTTTAACTCTGTAAATTAACAGCATTAAAGGATACACTTTGTGGAGCTCTGATGTGGGATGGCATATTTGGATGTATGATGGAGTGTTTAAACTGTGGCTTCATCCAGGGCTGGCCCTCCCATGGGGCAAGGTGAGGCTGTTGCCTCAGGTGGCAGGATCCACAGGGGCAGCAGATCCAGGTGTAGAACTTTCTTCCCCCCCTTGTTCCCAATGTAGATCTTCACTCACCCCTTTTTCCCTGACGGGGAGGGAGGCACCATTTTGCATTTTTCCACAGGTGCAAAAATGTATTGGCCAGGCCTCTATCTATGCTCAACCTTTACCCATCTGTCTATATTGAAAACCCTCAAATATTACCCTCAAACAGTAATATGCCTTTCTTCCAAAGAAAGCAAACCTCTACCCCTGGAACATCTCGCTGCTTGGAGTGGGGGCAGGCATAACAATATGAAATGTGGGAAACTCTCCCCAGTTTCTTAGAGCTAGCTACATTCCCTGGCTCCCTGTTTTCTGGCTTCCACATTTATTCATAGGCGCCGACCCCATGGGGCCTGAGGGGGCCCGAGCCCCCTCAAAAATTTTATTGGGGGGGCTCCGCCCCCCCAATAATTTAAAAAATTATCGCGCGCCTTGGCTCCCGCGGCCGGCGAGGGGAGCCCGGGCCGCGCGCGGCTGCTGCTGCCGCCTCTCCTGGGGGCGCCGCCTCCCCGGGCGGGAACGCTGCGGGTGCGCGAGGGAGGAGGGCGGCCCCCGGGGGCTGGGAGAGCCGGGCTGCCGTGGCCGAGAGGGCTGCTCTGCCGGGCGCCGCTGACATAATTTAAGCAAATTATCGCGCGCCTTGGCTCCCGCGGCCGGCGAGGGGAGCCCGGGCCGCGCGCGGCTGCTGCTGCTGCCGCCGCCGTTTGTGGTCATGGCGGAGCTGCCGCCTAGGGAGGAGGGGAGAGGGGGCTGGCGGGGGGGGCAGGCGGTGAAGGGGGCTTGGCTGCGCTCTCTCTCGCTCTCTCTCTCTCTCGGGCTCTCTCTCTCTCGCTCTCTCGGGCTCTCTCTCTCTCTCGGGCTCTCTCTCTCGGGCGCTCTCTCTCTCTCTCGCTCTCTCTCTCTCGGGCTCTCTCTCTCGGGCGCTCTCTCTCTCTCGGGCTCTCTCTCTCTCGGGCGCTCTCTCTCTCTCTCGCTCTCTCTCTCTCTCTCTCTCGGGCTCTCTCTCTCTCTCTCTCTCGGGCTCTCTCTCTCTCTCTCTCGGGCTCTCTCTCTCGCTCTCTCTCTCTCTCTCTCTCGGGCTCTCTCTCTCTCTCTCGGGCTCTCTCTCTCTCTCTCGGGCTCTCTCTCTCTCTCGGGCTCTCTCTCTCTCGGGCTCTTCCCGCCCAGGGCTTGTGGGCATCTGCTCTGAGACGAAGATGGAGGTGACTTCCCTTAAAGGTCATGGAATCATAGAGGTGGAAGGGACCCAAAGGTCATCCAGTCCAACCCCCAGCAATTCAGGACTCACAGCTAAAGCATCCCTGGCAGATGCCCCCCCCACCTCTCCCTAAAAGCCCCTTCCCCTGTCTGACTGCTCTCACCACCAGAAAGGCCTTCCTAATGTTTTGTGGGAATCTCATTAAGCCTACAGAGCTATATATGCAAATGGATCTACTTATTCTTTCCCTTGAAGATACATTGATTTGTTTGTTACTGTGGTTTCGATCAATACTTTCCAAAGATCTTTACATTTGTCCATGCATGATCTTTGTCTGAAAGCTCATGGGTTGCAGGAGTTGTCATAGGAGGTTATATTTTTGTCCTTCCAACTGTTATGGAAATTACAGGGGGGGGACATCTTTAAAGTTGTTAAATGTTGCAAATATTATGCCTGAATGTACCCTTTCAACTTGACAGCTCAGGGAAGTTACCTAGATAAAATCCTGTAACACAATGTATCAGCCTTAATCATTTTGCAGATGTTAAGGGGGGGGGGCAGAGCCTGCAGCCACCATCCCTTTCCGGTGGGGAGGGGGCAGAGGAAAGACAGGAAGCTTTTCCCTGCAGAGTTAGAACCCTTGGCTGCGTGGCCCTCGGGTCCCTTCAAACTCCTGGGCGTTTTGCTGGTGGGGGGCTGTGTGGGGGCCTGGGCGATGTCAGAAGAGGAAGCTTGCAGGCCTAGTTGTCTGTTGGGGGCAGCAGGAAGAGGCGGAGGGCAGGATGTGCAGCCCCTGCCTGGCTTTCCTGTGGGACCAAGGAAGCGGCTGGGGGGGGGGAACTTGGCCGCTGGCCTTTGTTGCGGAGGCGGCAGTGTGGGAACGCCAGTCCCAAGGGCAGCCTCTGGGGTCTGGGTGCTGCTGCCTGTCTCCTGCCATGGACTTGG